TGCCCAACTCCGTGTGTGTAGAAAAGTTTTGGGGGGGGGGGGGAGTGTGTGTGTGTGTGTGTCTGTGTGTGTGTTTTCGGGTTTTTTGCTTTTTACTCAATCAGTATTGTGGACAGTGGGGAATATCTTGAGTAATCTAGGGTGATTATACCCATGCAGCTGTAGTTTGCCTGTTTATTAGAAAATATCCCAGAAAGAAACTCTGTGCTCTGTACACAGGGCTTGGAGGTATTACTTTCTGCAGCATGTTTGCTATCATCTCTAGTTACACTGGATGCTAATTTTTGTCTTTTTTTATGCTGTGTAGAAGTAGTAGTTGACTAGTTTAAGCTAAGCCTGTGTTAAACCGGCATTTAAAAAATTTGCTTACAGTCTTTGATTATGCTTCATTCTTTATTCTTCATTAGGTTTCCCCAAACTCTCATCTTTTTCGCCTTTGGGATAGATTATCTCTTTATATACATAGGTAGTTCCAATACAATGAGCTGGATCTTGATTGCGATCTCTGGATTCTACTAGAAATTACAATTTCACTACATAATTCCAGACTCCACACTGGAAACTGGCTTAATATGGACAAATGTTTGTGCTACAGCATTTCTTAACTGGACAATAAATACTTACCCATGTGAATGCAGTTGAATGAGAGCTGTAGGCCTTACTCTATGGTCATTTGAAGTCATTGGGGTTTGTCACTTCCTTTAGGAAGTGTGGTATCATTTTAATTTCTCTTTCATCTTGCAAAATTAGTTTTCTTAAACATGTCTCTCAGTGTTTATTCTTTCATTTATCGCATGAAGTTTTGATGTTCACTATCCAGTCAGAAAATGATCAGAGCTGCATTTTTCTTCTCTTTCTAGTAAATATCAAGAAGTGTTCTTCTAAACATGATTTATGGCTTTAATCCATCTTACATTTTTTTTTCTTTTAATATAACTGAGTTATTATTGTCTGACCTTTAATGAAGATCTCTTTCTTAGGTTGTTGAAACTCTTCTTCAGCTGTGACCACACTTAGTACATTAGTAACAGCAGTATTCCTTCTCTCTCTTTTTCTTTTTTCTTTTTCTTTTTCCTTTTCCTTTTCTTTTCCTTTTTTTTTTTTTTGAAACATTATTTATGCAATTTGTTGACTTTGGCAAAATGTATCTGTCTCTAGAGCAAGGATTTAAAGGTACTTAAAACATTCCAGTGATACAAATCATAGCATCTTGTTGTTGTGGGGCAGATTGGGTAGGCAGACTGTAATCTGGCTAGGATTGCCCGGCTCTTGATGGGAGGGCATGGGGTATAACAGGCTGTTCGCTGGAATGGCCAAAGCTTTGTTTCTTTCTCTTGTGGTGCAGAATCTGTATCTGGCAAGATTGCTACCTGAAATAGTATGGCCGTAGGCAAAATGTGAAGCAGGAGGTACGCAACATGCTGCTTCATGAGTTCTTGTAGAGGAACCAACATACTAGTTACACTGAGGGGAAGCACCTGGAGTTTTGTGGCTGTGGTACAGACAGATGGAAAAGAGAGAATCTGTTTTTCGGCAATGCAAAAAAGTATTGTGATGAGCTGTGCACCTCAAAAGCTGGGGTTTCTTTTGAGTTATTTTGCCTGCAGTGTGCATCTGACAAAACCATTTGGCTGCTTGTTTTTCTGGCATGGTGCTTGCTCTCTACTCCCTATGCCAGGTCTCATTCTGTTCCTATCTAAATCAAAGATGCAGTGTCTGAGATGAAGATTTTGAAGATGTATGTTTAGTAGAAGACAGTGCAGTGTGAGGAAGGGAGTCCATGGTATTTAAAAGGCAGTTTTTAACAAGTTGGAAAAAGTGACATGCAGTTAATACTGCGATATCAGAGTTTTTGTTGAAGACTTCAAGCCTCACAATTGGAGGAATTGGCAAATAAAGGACTGGACATG